TGTCTCCCTGGACTGGTATTAAGGGCACACATCACTACACCCAGCCTCCAGCTACTTGTAATATTTTCTCCTTATTGCTGGTTTAAAGCAATTGATGATGTGCTTTGATGCAGGTTTCTTCCTGTTTCTTCTGGGTGGAGGTGGCTGGGCTTCCTGTATCTGTAGACACAGGAAGCTTCCTTTGGAGTTTTCAACTGTGGTTTCCCTTCACATGCATTTGTCTCTCATTGTCTGGCAGGACTCTGGTTATTCACGGGTCTGTCTAATCCCAGAGCCCTCAGATAACTTGGGCTTTAAAAACCTTTTTCTTCAGTTCTCCTCTCTGAGAAGCTCACACCCTGGGGATGTGTACAGCTGTGCTTTTCTTATGTCTGGCTGTCTATAATAGCCTTCGTCTCTTTCCTTTCCCCTTAGTATCCATGCTTAAATCTATATTAATACAGTTATTATTTTTAATAAACTACAACCTTGCTTCAGATTTTTTCCTCTTTATTTTAGTATAGATAATCTATGTTGTTGTGCCTTCATATTAACCAATCTCTTCTGTGATGTTAAGTATACTACTAAGTTTATTCACTGTATTTTTTAATCTCAGCCATTGTGAACTCAAAGTATTATCTGTATGATCTTTATACTTCCGTGCCCCCATTTAGTGTTGTGAAAAAGTAGAGTAATGATGGGTATTTAATCACACGCCTGTAATGCCAACACTCTAGGCTGAGGTAGAAGGATTCTAAGTTCAAGACCAACCTGGGCTACATAGTGAGATCCTGACCAATAGAATAACTTGGAACCTGTTCCTGACTTTGGCTTTGCTTACTTTGCCTTCTTCATTGTGAGTTGTACTTTCTTGTCCCGTATCTCTGAGGTTTTGATCTTGGAAACCGACTTAGGTAATTGCAAAGCACGTCTCGTTAGTTTATATCTCCAGGATTTACTCTTTTATTACTAGTATCCGTTGTCTTGAAAGCCAACGTATTGTGGCTTTCCCAAGCCAGGTATGGTGGTGTACACCTTTACTCTCAGTGGTTGGGAGGTAGAGACAGAAGGATCTCTGTGAGTTCAGGCCAGCTGGGGATACAAAGTGAGACCTTGTCTCAAAAACATTATAAGAATAGATTAGTACCTTTTATACCCTTCTGCATGTTTTTTTTCCAACATGAATGTTAAATTGTGATGTTTGCTTATAACATTTTTCTTTTTGTTGCTGTATAGTATTCATTATTTCTACTCATGATGACTGAGTAGTTTATGTTTTCTGCATAGAGTGCTGTTAGGAACATCTTCATGTGTCTTTTGGGGGACCATGAACACTGGGTATATATTTGCATAGCATTGGTAGGTCATGTGATAAACTATGCCAATGTCAGTGGCATCTCCCCCCATTGGTCTCATGTGACTTCACGTGTGTGCACTCTCTCAGCTGTTGTGAGGTTCCAGTTGCCCAGCCTTCGCTGTGTTTGCTGTTGTCTGTATGTATTCCCTTCTGAAACCCAAGAGAACAGGGCTGACACGCTACGTTAAAATGACCTGGTCAGGCCAGTGAGAGAGCTCAGCAGGTGAAGATGATTGCATGCAAGCCTGATGACCTTGGTTCGATCCCCCAATCCTATGAGGTGGCAAGAAAGAGCTGATTCCTTAAAGATGCTCTCTGACCTCTACACATAAGCCTTGGCACATTCGTGCCTGCCAGCACATGCATGCCTGCCAGCACATGCTCATTCTCGATTCCCCACCCCCTCCTAGACACACAATTAAAAAAACAAAAATCAACTGGTGAGCTTGTAGTGGTGTGCACTTATAATCTTAGCACTTGGTGGAGACAGGAGGATGAGGAATTGAAGGTCAGCCTTGGCTACATAAAACCCTGTTTCTAAAAACCTCAATTAATTAATTAAATACAATGAGGTGGGTTATTTTTATGAGGATTTGAAGCTAGAACAAATGTTAAATATAGGGCTGAAGAGACACTCAGTAGTTAAGAGGACTTGTTCTTGCAGAGGACCTGGGTTTGACTCCCAGCACACACGTGGTGACTTACAACCATCTGTAACTCCAGTTCCAGGGGACCTGGCATCCTCTGATTATCCTTTCTTTCCTTTTTTTAAAGATGATTTTTATTTTATGTGTACAAGTATTTGTCTGCATGTGTGTGTGTGTGCTTCATGTGTGTGCAGTGCCTACAGGGTCCAGGAAGGTGTGGTGTGGACCCTGAGACTGCAGTTACAGACAGTTGTGAACTATCATGTGGGTGATGGGAATCAAACCTGGGTCCTTTAGAAGAGCAGCCAGCACTCTTAACCTGTTTTTTGTTTGTTTGTTTGTTTGTTTGGTTGGTTGGTTCGTTTGGTTTTTTCGAGACAGGGTTTCTCTGTGTAGCCCTGGCTGTCCTGGAACTCACTCTGTAGCCCAGGCTGGCCTCAAACTCAGAGATCCACCTGCCTCTGCCACCCAAGGGCTGGGATTAAAGGCGTGTGCCACCACCGCCCAGCTTAACCTGCTTTCTGATACACCCCAGGATCACCTGCCTGGTGGTGACACCATCCACCGTGTCACCTCCAGGCATTAGTCAAGAAAATGCCGCACAGTTGTGTCAATAGGCCAGTCAGATGGAGGCAGTCCCTCAACCGAGTGCCCTCTTGCCAGGTGACTCTAGTTTGTGTTGATGAAAAACTAACCAGCATAGAAGCCAACCTGCAATTTAGTCATGTGACATCCTGTTAGGCTTTAAACTGAGAATGTCCCCAGTATTCCTGTCTTTCACAAATGCAGATGTATAAAAAGAGCCTCCTCCTCCCAGGAGCCTCAGCATTGGCTGTGCACAGAACTTACACTCTGCAGTCCTCACATGGTGCACCTTGGGCCATCAGTGCAAAAGAGGCACAGAACTAACTGCGCTCTCAGAGGCTACACTCCTTACACTTGCGATCATTTTCATTCTAAATCAAGATGGTTTTTGAAATCAAAACTAGGAAGAAAATACTTAGCTTTAAATTATTATCATGATTTTAACCCTCATTTGCCAATGGGGAAACAAGCTTCGCAGCTAATTGTTTCTGAAAAGTGAGTGTACGATCTCTGAATTAGACAGTAAACCGGATGATGGTAATGGAAATGATTTAGAGACTATGAAGACTACAAGAGTTCATGTTGGTTTCATTGAGAAACATGATTTATCCTCCAGTTCATTTTCAGTTGTGCTTAATGGTAAAGAGCTCAAAAATTCTGCTGCTGAGGCTTAAAGGGTAAAGGAGCTTGCTGCCAAGCCTGACCAGCTGAGTTCGATCCCCCGAACCAGTTGGTGGAGGAGCAAGCTGTCAAGGTGTCCTCTGACCTCCGTATGCACATCACAGCACATGTACACACACACACACACATAGATAAATAATACAAAACTTTTAATCCCAGTTCCCTGTGGACTAAAATGTAATTTGGCAGTTACGACAATAGTGCTTCAAACAATCTTGCATATTTCATGTCATTCATATGTAAAGCTTTCTCTGTGCTTACCAAAGAATGGTAGATTGGTCACTGTTCACTAGACAACAATTATCCAAAGCGATGGTGAGTCTGTATTCCTACTGCCTAGACACAGGTTCCTGTGCTGAATCTTGTCAGTGCTGTTCTTCAGGCTTTCATTTTTTGGGTGTATAAAAGGATGTTTTGTGCATTTTTAAAAAATTAAGTTATAATTTGTATACAGAAAAAAAAACATCCTTTTATGGTTTTTTTGAGGCAGGGTTTCTCTGTGTAGCCCTGGCTGTCCTGGAACTTGCTCTGTAGACCAGGCTGGCCAGGCTGGCCAGGCTGGCCTTGAACTCACAGAGATCCTCCTGCCTCTGCCTCCCCAGGGTTGGGATTAAAGGGGTGTGCCACCACTGCCTGGCAGATTTTCCCTTTAGATTTATTTTTATTCGTGGTGTGTGTGTGTGTGTGTGTGTGTGTGTGTGTACATGTGTGAGCTGGTGCCAAAGAGGCCCAAGGAGGCTATGGGAACCCTTAGAGCTGTGGTTTCAGATGGCTGTAAGCTGCCTGATGTGGGTGCTAGATCCAAACTCTGGTCCTCATAGAGAACAGCCAGCGTTCCTAACTTCTGAGCGTCTCTGCAGCCCCAGATTTCCCTCCTAGTTCACCTTTCTTTAACTTTCTGACAAAGCTTCAATTTCAGTTTAGAGGCTTTTGTAGATTTATTGTGTTCTTTTAAAAAATTGCTTCTTTTTATATTTTGCACTTACTCATAGTTTCAGGTTCTTTAAGAAAAATCTTAGCTTTACATTCAGTGTCTGTCTGTTCCAGAGCTGACAGTGCTGTTCCACTTGCTCCTTTTCAGGGGCTGGATCTCCGTGTAGAAAATATGATTTCTAGTGGTTTCTAGTTTCAGTGCATTGTCCACGGCAGTGCTTCAGTCCTCAGGTTGTGCTGACCCCCAACCATAAAGTTATTGTCGTTGCTATTTCATAACTAGTTTTGCTACTGTTATGAATCGTAATGTAACTGTCTGAATGCAGGATATCTGATATGGGACCCCTGTGAAAGGGTTGTTAGACCACCAAGGGGTCGAGACCCACAGGTTTATGGGCACTGAGGTCAGGATTGATGACCTGAAGGTTCTGGAGTTCTACAGTAGTCACTAGCAACGTGTGGCTCTTTAACTTTAAAAATCCCGTGTTCCACAGTCACAGTAGCCACATTTTAAGTGTCCCATGGTGTCATCTCTGTGGCCACCACACTGGGCAGCACTGATGTAAAACATTTCCATCAATTCCAAAGGTTCTGTCATAGATCTTTGCTTTTCCTTCTGCTTGGCACCACCAGCCGTCATCAGCCGGGAAACCACTTTAAACTGAGCTCTCAGCCTGAGGGCTTGTAACTGCCGGTGCGTGCCGCTGAGCTGCAGAAGTGAGCGAAGCCTTTCTAGAGCCTGCTAGCTGTCAGGGAGAGTGTCTCAGTACTGTCAACAGAAGATAGCTCTGGATAATGGATCCTGTTCCTTTGCTCAGATGATGAGAGTAACGTTGAAATTACCAGACTGGATTCCGGAAGTCCCTGTGTGCTGAACGAACAGCATCCTTTGGTCTTACCTCGAATGCCGCAGTCCAAGGTGCTGTCCATCACCTCAAATCCGGTAAGCCCCAGACAGATCGTGAGAACCCAGGACTGCTTTTGCAGAGGAAACTTGCTCGGGTGTTTGCTTTGGTTGTATTATTTCTGGCAAGGTTCATAACAACATAGTCATATTGTTATGTTAAGAGCTGGTTTCACTGTATAGCCCAGGCTGGCCTCAAACTCACTGTATAGCCCAGGCCAGCCTTGAACTCATAATCCCCCTGCCGCAGCTTCTCAAGTGCTGGGATTACAGGTATATGCCACCTCTTCCAGAAAGAGGAAGAAAAGTATTCTATGGCAAAAGAGATAATTAAAGAGCACCGAACGATGGCTAGCTCAAGTTGGTAATATTAGAACTAGGATTAACTCTTTATAAGGCCTTTGGAATTTAAGTTATTCAGTGGGACTTAGGGAGAGATGCACCCTCATTCCAGCTACTCAGAAGACTGGCACAGGAAGATGACTTGAGCCCCCCATTCCAAGGCCAGCCTGGGCAATACAAAGACACTGTCATAAAAAATTTAAATAAAAAATAAAAAAATAAAGAGCAATGAATGATCGAGAACCAGTGCTCTGGAGCTGGAGAGATGGCTCAGGGGTTAAGAGCACTGACTACTCTTCCAGAGGACCTGGGTTCAATTCCTAGCATCACATGGCAGCTCACAACTGTCTATAACTCCAGTTCTGAGGCTCTAACACTCTTGCATAGACATACATTCAGGCAAAACACCAATGCACATAAAATAAATCTTTTTTAAAAAAAGAAAGAAATGGCAGTCCTTTAAAAAAAAAAAAGAAGAAGAAGAACAACCAGCACTCTAGGCTAGTGAAAGATGAGTGTGCAGAGGTCAGGATCGTGTGCTGATGAAAAAGATCAGTTCTTTGCACTTACTTTTTCTACTGTTCCAAAATCTGCTCATGACTTTACTATTTCGGTCTTCTTTTTTCTTGTAAGCAATGCTTCCCCCTCCCCTATGAGAGTGGCCATTGATTTCCATCTGTGTGGATCAGCTGTCACTTAGAAATACAGAACAGGGCTGGAGAGATGGCTCAGAGGTTAGGAACACGGACTGCTCTTCCAGAGTTCCTGAGTTCAATTCCCAGCAACCACATGGTGGCTCACAACCATCTGTAATGAGATCTGGTGCCCTCTTCTGGCCTGCAAAAATACATGCAGACAGAACATTGTATGCATAATAAATAAATAAATCTTTAAAAAAAAAAAAAAAAAGAAATACAGAACAAAGAAAATAGCCCTGTTCTCTTGACAGTGCACTTTGCGGGCTACTGGCCAGCTTCTAAAAGTGAAGGCACAAGGCTGGGGTGGGGGTGTATAAAAATAACCTCCCTGGAGACACTAACATTGCGAACATAGCAAATGGAGCAGGTGTCTTCACCAACCGATGTCTACTTTTGACACATAGATGAGTTTCTGTCAAGCAAGTGGTCACCAGCCAAATGTGAATGGCCTCTTGGTTCATGGGATGCCGCTACAGCCAAGGAACCTCTCTCTGATGGACAAGCTCCTGTAAGAAGCTCGGCTTTTCATTCCCTGGAGAGCTTGAGTAGAATGTGAGAAACAGAGGAAGAAGGACTGAGGTTAGGGGTACTGTAGCAACAGGAATCAGAGTCAGCTCTGAGGTTCCACGCTCAGGAAGTTTGATTAGGGGAAAATGGGTTTCTTTTGGGTTCTGTTTTCAGTGACGCACCACCTTCAGAAAATGTGGAGCGATCAGGTTTGGGGACTGACTTAAAGGTCACCTAGTAAAGGATGGTAGTTGAACTCACAGTCAGACAGGAAAGGAGGTGACAGAAGAAAACACTGAGCTAAAGTCCACCCCACCCCCCTTTTTCTAGTTTTCAAGATAGGGTTTCTCTGTGTAGCCCTGGTTGTCCTGGAACTCGCTCTGTAGACCAGACTGATCTTGAACTCATAGAGATCTGCCTGCCTCTGCTTCCCAAGTGCTGGAATTGAAGGCATGCACCACCACGCCCTGCTAAGTCCATGCCTTTTTAATTAAAAAAAAAAAAAAAAAGACATGAGTGAGTGGTTACTTAGGAAGACCAGAAAGATCTCTAAGTCTCAGGGGCTAGAGCTTGGGCATTCTCCTTCCCAAATCCTCCAAACACCAAGGCCCTGGATACAGTCCAGGCCTGACAGGCTGAGCAGTCAAGTGGCAGAGGCGGGCTGCTCAGTTCTTTCACTCTTCACTCCATTTTGTCCCTAGATGTCTTAGAATCAGCAGACTTCCTGGTATCTTCGTAAAACAAACAAAAACCAAACAGAACCAAGCCCACTGCCATATCTGAAGAGCAGCGTTAGACGTTTGTCTGAAGGCTTATGGGAGACTTGCATCCCTCAGTTGTTTATGCATACGGGGATCTGTTCTGTTCTTCTTACCCTGGGCAGCATGAGGCAGGGACCCTTGGCTTGTCCCCAGCTTGAAGGCCTCCAGGACTGAACTGTACTCCTGTAAGGTTCCAATTAGCTCAGCACTTTAAAGGCTTATTTGTTTTGTTTTGTTTTTTGAGTCGGGGTTTTTCTGTGTAGTTTTTGGTGCCTGTCCTGGATCTCGCTCTATAGACCAGGCTGGCCTCAAACTCACAGAGATCCGCCTGGCTCTGCTTCCCAGGTGCTGGGATTAAAGATGTGCACCACCATTGCCTGGCTAAAGGCTTATTTTTATTAGTATATATTAATGTTTTGCTTCCACATGTGTGTGTACCATGTGTGTGCAGTGTCCATGGAGCCCAGAAGAAGGTATTAGATTCCCCAAAACTTAGCTACTATTTCAATATCAAAGTGAGAGCCACACTGGTGCCTCAGATCTACCCTGAGGACATTTCCTCAGCTCAGAAAGTGCTTCGAATAATGTAGGATCTGAATGGGAAGCACTAAGTGCCTGTCAGCCTCGCCTCCCTACAACAGAACAAGGGACTGTGGGGCAAGTGGATCCCATTCTAGTAAGTTAGGATTGAAACGGGTCATTGTCAGGTACACACCTATAATCCGAGCACTTGAGAGGCCAGGCAGAGGATCTCAGATTCCAGCCTGGCCCAGGCTAGCTAACAAGCCCCCATCTCAAAAACAGCCTCTCATGCCCAACTCCCAGATAGCCTCTGCAGGCCACTTTCTCTGTTCTTCCCTGAATGTCTTAGGCTAAGGCTTTTTACCCTGAGCCTTGTCCTCTTTTACACTATGGTTTTCATTGTGGGTTTCTGATTTGGCCACTAGAGATCTTGATGACAAGCTGCTTATGAGGCCTGGCTCCAGTTCCGTCCTTTCAAACAGAAATTGGCCAAACCGAGCCCTGGAGCTCAGTACGTCATCTTTGTCATATACAGTGCAGTCCGCCAGGAGACGCAACCCCCCACCACGCACCCTTCATCCCATCAGCACAAGCCACTCACGTGCCGGGACGCCATGGCCTGCAGAAGAAATCCTCAGAGGATCCCGAGTGTAGGTTTCAAAAGCTAAATTTCTGAAACTGGTAAAACTAGTACCAATAGTTATGGGAATAGTAATAGAGAATGAGTTTGAATATAAGATTGAAGCTATGCCTAGAAACTAATAATTAAGTAGTCACACAATGGATTGTCTGAGTTTAAAGCCAATTCAATTTTTTTATTTAAGTTTTAGTGAAATTCAAATACTGGGTGAGATCATCCGGTTGATTCTGCTGAAGATTTGTATATATGAAATTTAAGGGAGAAAGAAAAAAAAAACTCTTTCCAAAATTGCTTCCTTTTCTGAAAATCTAGATGGCTTAAAGCTCCCAGAGCACATTAGACTTAAGCCTGCTTACTGCACTGCTCATGGATTTGCTTGTGTTATTACAACTTTGCTTTTACATCTTGGTTTTGCTGGTGGGCTATGCAGGCCAGTGACCGCAGACACGCTCTCTTCTTCCTCGCCAATGTCCCTGGGTCGGAACAATCTGCTGCCACCTATTGGAACAGCTGACGTAGAGCATCTGAGCACTGTGGGGCCACAGCGGCCAACAGTAAGTCTCATTCCTACAGCCTCCTGCCTGTATCCTGAAATCTCGAGGGCAGTGGTAGTTGTGTAGAGCTTACAGCAGCCTTAGTTCACTCTTCCTCTGCCAAAAAGAAATCGGGTCCCAGGTGGTGAGTGAAGTGGGGTTGGAGCTGTTGGCAGCAGGTACCTCAGCTGCTGATGTGGAACATGCGCGGCGCCCGACACTGTTAGCTGTTTCTCCTCTGCAGAAACCCCACGGTGACTCCAGCCGAGCTCGAAGTGCAGTGGTGGATGAGTCTAACCAGCAGCCCCAAGAGAGGCTCCTTTTACCTGTCTTCTCCAGACCCAACACAACTCAGTCATTCTTGGTAAAGTGCTTCCTGTTTGTCGGTTTTGGAGGGGTTAACACAGCATCTCAGATAGCTCATGCTGCTCTTGAACTCCTAATCCTTCTGTCCCCAGCTCCCAAGTGCTGGAATTACAGGGACTAGCTACCTACCCAACTCCTGTTTGCCCTTGGTAGCTGGGGAAAGGATGGGGGGCGGGCTATAAGTTTGACAAACTTAGGACTTTATCTGGTGGCATGATTAAGGAAAAAAGTTGGATGTTCTAATGGTAAAAATAGCATTCTAAGTGTGCCTCCTGAAAATCTCCAGTGGTCCCCGTCCTCCTTCTTTTGGCAGTAAAACGTCCTATTTGTAAATTAAAATCTTCAGCAACTTACTCCGAGCATAAACAAACACAACCAACTCCAGTGCGTATCCAGCCAGCCTAACTTGACTGTCTCCACCGCTCCCGTGCAATGTACCCCGAGAAGTGCTGTCACACCGAGGGCCTGAGTACCAGCTGAGTTGGCACTCTCCCATGGCTGTTTGAAATGCTGACACTTGCCTCCTCACTCACTGTGCACTTACTGGCCCTTTTACTCGTAAGGAGGGATCTGAAGAAAGCCTGACAACTGGGCCACGTATGGACCTTGCACACCTGTAGGTCAGTGCATGGCCCTGCCTCATCTGCTTTGGCAAAAGGGTTTGCAAAGCATAAGGATGTGATTGGGCACATGTTTAGTGCTTACCTGGGAATTCGGTGTCCTGCACCAGCTTTCAGAATGGTGGCATTTGTAGCTCATGTATCCCAACTTGACCCTTGAACCATCTTCTACTAACAGTGGTGGGAGTTCATACCTGTATGTTTCAAAAGGCTCCCATGACAGAGGACAACGTGGGCATCCAAAACTACAGAAACTTACTATTTTCATTACAGAAGCTGGAACCTCTCTCTGCAAGCTCTGGAGAAGAGCCTTTGCTGCCTCTGTGTAGCTTCTGTGGCTGCCTACAGTGCTTGGGCTCCATGGGCATGTAGCCTAGCCTAATAGATGAGCCCCAGACCCCAGGGAGACACTGTTGCCAAAAACAAAGTGGACAGCTCCTGAGAACCACACCATTAAACTCTGGCATGTGCACAGTATGTGGATGCACACTCATACTGCACATAGACACAAATAAAAACAAATTAAAAAAAAAAACAGTTGGAGCTGGAAAGATGGCCCATTGGTTAAGAACACTGGCTGTTCTTCCAGAGACCCCAGGTTCGATTCCCAGCACCCACATGGCAGCTCACAAGTATCTGTAACTTCCTGGTAAGCATACATACACACAGTCAAAATACCTATTACAAATAAAATAAAAATTAAGAGATAACAGCCATTGAATTTATGGTCCAGTCTAATCCAATATGACTTCTTACCTTGATTACTTATGCAAAGAAATGGTTTTCCAAAAATAATCACATTCACAAGTTCCAGGTTGATATGAATTTTGAAGGGCACTATTTAGCTCAAAATTTTATGAGGCTTAATTTAGAGGAAAGGCCAAAAAGGAAATGTAGTTCTGATTCTTATGATTCAGTGTGAACCCCAGAAAACCTAAAACATCTTCTGAATTGGTCTCATTAGACTCAGAACATTTATTAAATAATGTTTGATTATGTTCTATAACTATGTTCTTTCCTTTCAAAATGTAAGTTTTAGTTGCCTTAGGAATAAAACTCAACATATGAACACTTCAAAATCTCTCTAAAAAATAAGTTTGTAACAGTAAAAATTGCTTACCTTAGCATTATTTTCCCCATTTTCGATCATAAAAAAAGATGAAGTAGCAACTGGATATAATTAAGAGTGTGAGCTCCGAACCTTAGGCGGAACCTTGGACTCGAACTCTGTCCCTTGGCACTCTCATCAAGGCTAGGAGTCAGTGGCCCTCAGTTCAGGACTGTGCGGGATTGCTGCCTGTTTCTGTAAATGAAGCTTTATTGAAGCAGAGCCACCAAGCTCATTTGCCTGTAGCTAGTTTCACCTTTTCAACAGCGTGTTAAGTCATTGCAGTAGATACCATGTGGTCCACAAAGCAATCTGCTAAACCCTGGTCTCCACAGTGTGCTACCCTCACCAGGAAAAAGTCCTACCTCCTAATTCAGGCTCTCACAGAGGGCTTCACACAAGAACACCAGCAGGGTGCTTCATTTTAGTTTTTACATTTGAAATCCCTTGAGGTCCCTTTGGTGTTTTGTTGTTATTTTCGAGACAGGGTTTCTCTGGGTGGCCTTGGCTGTCCTGGAACTCGCTCTGTAAACTAGGCTGGCCTCGAACTCACAGAGAGATCCACCCACTTCTGCCTCCTAATTGCTGGGATTAAAGACATGCACCACTACAGCCAACTGAGATAACTTTGAAATGTTTGAGTTTCATAAAGCTAAAAACTAAATGGAAAGTTAAGTTTCATCACATGGTGAAATCATAGGTGTCCTTTCCTCTCACCGACAGCGTGGATTCTATTTCAGTGGCATGCTGTAATATCAGATGTCATTCGCTGGGCCAGCTATGATGTTGCAAACCTGTAATCCCAACACAATGGAGGCAAAATAAAGCAGCCTTTTGTATCTAATTGTAACATTACACCATATGGATTATTTGTAAATGCTAAGGTCATATTAATATAAGTTATAGAACATGCAATCCTTACAAGTTAGCAAATCTCTTTGTGGGCATCTGACTTTGGAACTTTCTTCTTGGAATTGAACATAGTGCCCCCAAGTTGGCAGATGACAGTCTTTCATTGTTAATGTCAAGGTTTTCCTGTGTGTTTGAGTGAGACGTTCCCCATAGTGTAGGGCATCTGATAACTTGGTCCCTCACAGTGGTGCTGTCTGGGAAGTTTAGGAGGTATGGCTGGCTGGAGGAAGTATGCTATCGAGGATGTGTGGGAGAGTTTAAAGACTCCTACCATTGCTAGTTAGATCTGCTTCCTGCTTGAAAATTCAAGATGTGGACTCTGCAGCTCTTCCTGCCGCCATGCTTCCTGCTTCCCTGCCTTGATGGACACTAAACCCTTCCTTCTGTAAGTTGCCCTGGTCATGGAGTTTATCAGAGCAGTAGAAAAACAGCTCATGCAGTCTGTAAGCCTCCAGCAAGGATCTCTGGGAGAAGCTGCATCCTAAGATATCTTTTCTTTTCTTTTCTTTTAGCCAGACACACAGTACCGAAACTCGTGTGCCTCTGAGTATCCTCACCAGGCCCGCCCTGGCAGGGGGTCTGCAGGTACAGGTGGGCTGCAGTTCATGCTTTTGTCTCTCTTTAGTCCTACATGGTCTCCTTTCCTGCAGACTTGTCTACATTTACCTATCCCTCGTCTATGTAAATCGTATTAGCATCATTTTGGAAGATGGCTATAAAAGAATGGCCAATTGCTCAAAGCCAAAAAGTTCTAGATTTCTGCCTTTTTTTTTTTTTTTTTTGGTTTTTCGAGACAGGGTTTCTCTGTGTAGCTTTGCGCCTTTCCTGGTACTCGCTTTGGAGACCAGGCTGGCCTCGAACTCACAGAGATCCGCCTGGCTCTGCCTCCCGAGTGCTGGGATTAAAGGCGTGCGCCACCACCGCCCGGCCTGCCTTTTTTTTTAAAATACCAAGTAAATTATCTTTAAGGTAAATTACTTTTTTTTTTTTTTTTTTTTTTTTGGTTTTTCGAGACAGGGTTTCTCCGTGTAGCTTTGCGCCTTTCCTGGGACTCACTTGGTAGCCCAGGCTGGCCTCGAACTCACAGAGATCCGCCTGGCTCTGCCTCCCGAGTGCTGGGATTAAAGGCGTGCGCCACCACCGCCCGGCCCGGTAAATTACTTTTTTAAAAAACAAAAATTTGGGGGACTGGAAAAATGGCTCAGTGGTTAAGATTATTTGCTGTTCTTCCAGCAAACCCAAGGTTCCCAGCATCCATGTCAGACAACTCACAACCACCAGATCTGAGAGATCAGACTCCCTCTTCTGGCCCCTACGGGTACTTACACATATGTGGCATACACTCACAGGCACAAACATACACATAAGTAAAAATACATCTTTTTTTTAAAGCCTCCAATCTTGCTACTCCATCAGCTACACTTTTAGTCAGATGTTAACTGAAATGTGCATCTTAGTTTTTTTAATGAGTAGGCTCCCAAGCAAAACTAGGCTACAGCTTGGTTTTGCTTTGAGACAAGAGTCTCTATTTACCCTGATAGTCCTGAATTTACTATGCAGACCAGGCTGGCCTTGATCTTAGAATCCTCCTGCATCTGCTTCCAAAGCACTGAAAGGTATGTCAGCAAACCCACTTGCTTTCACTTCTTAGATGAGTTGTTTCTTCAGTAGCGTAAACTATTCAAACATGGCTTTTAAAAGTGCCTCGGTGAATGTGTACTTCTCAGTACTTAGACAGTCTTCAAATTTAAAGTCCTCTAGTAATTTATGCAAAAGTTCCTCAGATATGAACTTAATTGTTGATTACCAAATATAAACTATTTTTTAATGTTATTTTGTGCACTTCTGTGTCTGACAGGTCCTCAGTCACATGGGTCTACAAAACCTCAATGTAGAGGTGGCCCCATCTCTAGAACCAGGCAGTGACCACAGGGCAAGTGAGAATCCGCAAGGCTGCAGCAGACTGCAAACACATGGAAGGTTTCGTGCACCAGTGCTCAGGCCCCCAACGAAGCAAAGCTTGGGCCATCTTCAAAGCTATCTTGGTACAACTGTCCGAGCAACACTAGAGAGCATCTGCCAAAGACTGCGTGGGCAACTGTTCTGTGTCCAGTTCCTGTCTTCTTCCAGCTGTTCCACTGGGAAGTAAAGATTGTACCCAAAGATGTGACGATGAAGAACCACCCCAAATCACTGCTCTGTTGTCTGTAACCAATCACCAGTTCGATTCTTGTACAACTCAGTGAGATTACATACACACAGATGATTCAGATCACTGGCTTCAGAATATTTCTGCTTATATTAATTTCTGGAGAACTGCACTATTCTAACATATTTTTAGAAGAAAGTGCTGCCAAAAATCTGAGATACTCGTCAAATAAATGTCATTCCTAAACTTTAAGTTCCTTATTACATTTCAATTATTTTTGTGTATGCATGTGTGTGGGCATACACGTGGTCAGAGGACAGCTTGCAGGAGTCAGGCCGAACCCAAGGGTCTCAGGGGAGGGGCATTTACCTACTGAGCCACCTGGCCAGCCAATCTTTCTTTTTAAAAGGCAGAATAAAATAAAAAAGCTAACTACAGATAATCAGCACTGGTGTAAAGAAATCAGTTTCTTTCTCCTAGGACAGCCTTACATGCCTGCTTCACATCAAGGTCTTTGTGTGTGCATGCATGTGGAAGCCAGATGTCGCTGGTTGTCTTTCCTTTTCTCCATCTCATTTTTTAAGACAGGTTCTCTTGCTGAACATGGAGCTCCTCATTCATGCACAACAGGGTTTTTTGTCTGTGGTGGGGATCCAAACTCAGTCTTCGTGCTTATGATACAAGTACTTGACCACTGAGCCAGCTCTCCATTCAAAGAGCACTGAACTAGAGAACTTCATGTTCCTCTAGTTACACCACAAGCTTCTCCAGAACACTAGAAATGCAGCAATGGTGTTAACCCGGCTCGAGTCTGTCTTAGTAAAATGGCACTGACTGTTGCCTTAGCTAGCACACCACTTTGACGTTACTTGTTTTCAGAGTGGCTAAATGCAAATGGTTGTCTATCGACTGTGACTTAAATTATTCCAAGTTCTTATGCCATCAATTCGATAAGATGCTTCAGATATCCCACAATGAATTATAGTTTAATTCAATTAAATAGTTCTAACGTGCTTGTGATCACAAAGAATGTGTAATGTATCCACCGTAGATGATAACGCTCAGTAGGAAAAGAGGCTCGCTCCTGCATTAGTCTACATTCAGGACTTGAACAATCACTACAAAGACGCCACATACTGTAGTGAATACCTGCCAACCCAGGGTATAAATGAAAACTGTTCTCACGAATCCATACAGCGAGTACACTCTAACATCACGTCTACACAGGTGGCCTTCCTAAGCAGCTGTGACTCAGTATCCCTCAGGCCACTCAGTTGAGTTCCTCACCCTTTTATGTGTGTGTTCCCTCAAAGCTAGTACTCATCTTTACAAAAACCTGAGTACAAGTCTACGTAGCAAATCCCAGGCGAGCCAGAGCTACACAGCAAGACACAGCGAACAAGCAACAAGCCAGGCAGTGACAAGCAGTGATCTCTGTGAGTTCCAGGACAGCCAAGGCCACACAGAGAAACCCTGTCTCAGGGGAAAACAACAACAACAAAAAACAAAAGATTGAAACACTTAAAAAAAAAAAAAAAAACCCTGCTGTACTTAATACATACAAATTAATGAGTTTGGATCTCACTCTTACAGATGAAAAGTACAGACAAGCCCAGTGAAATGCCTAACCCTGAGCCCTGCAAAGACAGCGCTATGACATTGTCTCTGCTGCAGAAGCCAGCCTGTCTGTCGTAATGCTGACTTTCTTACTTATATAAACATTGTACTTTTCTAGATAAATGGGTCATTTAATAATCCACCAGACCTTTCAAGTTTTTCTTTATTTAGTCATATACAATCTTACAAAGTAGTCTGCAGTAATATGAACACCCACTTCTACCACAAGGACAGAAGACAAAACGTAACAGTAGGCCAGGAAAAGAGAATCTCTAGGATTATTAAGAAGCTGATCACCAAGTGTTCTGAGGGTGTTCTCCATAGGTAGAGCATCAACTCCCTAGGCAGAATACCCATTGAAGCAAATGTTGTCAAATCCACCCTCCCAACCATCACCACTACACCCTTCATGTGAAGCCCTCACACAATGTCAGGTGAATTCTAGGAAACACTAAGATCAAGTTGATGAATCTTGCCTGGCTTAGGTGATCCACATATTTTAAGCAGAACAAACTTCTCTCAAAGGTTAGGCTAACACCTGCCTTCCCCTTGTTTACCATGGCACCACTGACACATAAGGACCCGTGAAGAGAAAATCTCCATTATTTCTTTTCCTTCTTGGATGCCGTTCTTTTCCCTTTGGAAGGTTTGCAGTATTTTGCTTCCATCTGAGCCAGAAAATTGTCCATTTCCTTTTGCCGATCCTTTTGTCTGCTCTGTTTGAGAAGTTAAAACACAGCTTTCAAAACATAAGACTGTCCACTGAGACAAAGCATTTCACGGTTAGGAGGGGCTGGAGTCGAAGAAACACACCAGGGATTAATGATGGGTATGGGCTCCCTCTGGAGTGTAACAATACTCCAGACCAGTGGTGACAGCTGTACAATGTGGAGGGGAAATTACTTAATTGTTCACATGGTTTAAGTTACGGGTAATTGTGCCTTAAAAGAAAAAAAAAAAATCGGAATACGCTCCCAAGAGTATACACACACAGTAAGGGACCGTGAGGGCTGTGAGGGGAGCTTGAGGAGCCTGCCGCGTTTACCTGGATGAGGGCTTTCAGGTTCTCCACTCCCTCCTGCAGCCCCAGCTCCTTCCTGCTCAACTCTGCCTCTTTAGCCTCTTCCTGAGCCTGAACAGAAACTTTCATCAGATTCCATGGCAACCAAGAAATAACGGAAATACACCTTTTTTCCCTTAAAGAAAATGTTAAGACCCCTTCTAGAGCTGGAGATACATGAGTAAAATTACACGTGGTTTTCATTAGAAGGTGGCAACCACTGCTCTGATCCAGCTGTTTTATCCCCAGTTATACTTGCTAGAGAGCCCAAGTACTCTGGCATCAAACCACACAGTGACACAAAGCAAAACAACCTACTAGGTGGTCTGGGGGGTCACATAGCCAGGGACAGCTTCAAAAGAGATGCCAGCTATCAGACACCTCAAGATCTTCATCGGAAACCCCATTGTGTACACAGCACTGGTGGCAGCCTCGTGAACTGCAGTGGTTCAAAGGCTTTCTCGGGAGCTGGACAGCTGTCTCCGTGGTGAGCAGCACTTCTTGCTCTTCAACATGCCCAGCACCCATATCAGGTGGCCTGCCACTCCAACTCCTGGAAATCAACAGCCTCTTCTTGGCCTCTGTGGGCACTCACACTCATCACACACCAACACACACACACACACACACACACACACACACACACACACACACACACACACACATTCAAAAATGTTTTCTGAGTAGTGAGAAAAAACATTAGCAAATTCAGTTTTAGTCTTTCTTTACCTGACTTGAAAGCTGCCTTCACTTAACAAAATTTGCCAAAATACCACAAGAACACCTAAAGGCAGCAACAGTGATAATACGAGGCCCTAACTCCTTGAAAAATGTTCTAATTAGCAAAGAATTTCATTAATACTGGGAATAATAAGAAATTAGGATCTTGTTATTCCAGAACAAAAACAAGTTTTGTTTTATCCTCACCTCTTGAAATTGAGCACCCCTTAATCCCCTCTCACTGGTTAGACAGCTTTCAAACTGTCATTTTCCCTCAAACTCTTAAGTTTCTCCAACTAAAATCACACGTTCGAATACAGCTGTTCTCAGTTTTACCTGAGAAAATGACTGAAATGATTAACAAGCAGTGGGCATGACTCTCAGCAGATGCAGCCATGCAACAAAATGACTTTGATAGCATCTCACTTCTTCCCTCAGAGCAACAGACATGAGTCTCTTATCTCAGTAAAACAGGCCCTAAACTCACCCCATACACAAAGGTCAGTTTTTCTCTGCAATTTCATGTATCCCAAAGCTCCAGCTCTTTGCCCATCCACTGGAGCCACACAAAAGACGACTCGAGTGCCCACCAGACATCTAAAATCTTAAACTGCCTGCTCTCCAGAGAACTCTCATCGTGAGAGCCAAGATGGAGCAACTGCTGCTTTAATAGCAGTCCAAGGTAACCTTTCCAAAGAGCATTTGGACACAGACCTTTGCTACCCTGAATTCCCATGCTACCATCCTACCAACTCTGGCTCGATAGGGGTATCAAGAATTACAAGTCCCAATCCTCAATACTCAGCAATCAAGTGTTCCTCAGAATGGGGGCAGAAAGACTCACCTCAATGTGCTTTAACAAACAGAGAGAACGAAGAAGCAGGTGTGGTCTGGAGAGACCACTCAGTGGTCAGAGGCTAGATGTCAACTCCCTGGGAACTGAAGTGACAGTGAGCCACCCGACCTTGGTGCTGGAATTGAACTTCTCTGTAGGAGCAGTACATGCCCTCAGAGCTATTTCTCCAGCCCCTCAGTTTAAAATTTTTAATAATGTTATGCATTTACAGAATTTTAAAAATACATCTGTGCTTTCTCCCCCCTCTTCTGAGCAGTTTTGGAGACTTAATTTGGGACCTACCACATACTAGACAACCAATCTGGCAGTGATCCACACACCAGCAGCCTGAGCTCAGAAACGGCAATCTCTTCATTAGCCTCCTCAGTGCTCAAGTACCAGGACCACCACGCTTTAGCACTCTACACTCTTTTTACAACCCTGCCATCTTCTCCCTGTTCACCACATACGTCTCCCCAGGAAAGCCTCAGCAAGGATACAAGGACTGCCCATGTGAAGAGTGTTTCAGAGTCACTTTCGGGTTGATTTCACACAATCCATAAAGTAACTATTTTCAGCACAACATACCAAAAGCAAACGCAAACACACACACACACACACACACACACACACACACACACACACACACACCAGGGTTTCTTCATGATCTGACAAGACTATCTAGTTGGAGGAGTGCTGCAGGTGAAGCAGCCTGTATTTCAGCAGTAAATACTCCAAGATCCCTTTTCTGAAGCAACTGAGATTATGTCACGAACAGCATTCAGACTTACCCTCCTCTTCCTTGCGTTCATCTTTTGCTTAGACTCTTTGACGAAGGCATTGTAGGACGGGACCTCTTTGGCATCGATAGCTTGTTGAATGATGTTTCTTATCCGGGGCTCGTCGGTGTATTGCACACAAAGCACAGACTCCATGATCTGATCCATGTCGCCCTTGAAGTCCAGGTAGGCCTGCTTAACATCGGCTAGCTCTTCTTCAGAGCCTTTGTATGTGTTTTCAAAAGCCTGAATGTCCTCTAGCGATATCTAATAACAAAGAAGATCGCTTTAACTTCGAGAATTTTACTTGTGGACTGGACGACGGGAATTAGTCAAAGCCACTAAAGCCCTTTTTACCTTTTTAAAAAGTAACCTCCAATACGCATCCCAGTCCCGGTCTTGGTTGAGGCCAGCAGTGTCCTCGTCCACTGTCCCCTGCTCATCGTACACTGCTCTCTGCTCCTTGTCACTCAGAACCGCATAGACTCTCCCCAAGATCTGCAGGCAAAGAGCATCCAAAAGTCACCCTGAACCTCCCGCTGACACCGTGGGGCTAGAAATGCTTAAAAATGCCAGGCCGGGGATCCGCAGTGCGCTGCCCCGGGGGTGGGGTGGCCGCAAGAGCCGGAGAAGTCCGGGTGGCCGCCCGAACACCGGCCCACATACCTGGAAGCGGCGGGTGGCATCCTCTTTCTGGTCCGGGTCTACACGGTCCGGGTGCACTTGCAGGGACACCTTGTGGTAACCGCGTCGGACCTCGCCGTCGGAAGCCTCGCGCCGCACGCCCAGCACCCGGTAGAGGTCGGCGGTGCCGAACACCTGCTCGCACAGCTCCAGCAGCCCCATGTCGGGGAAGAGGCTGCTCCGCTAACGCCGAGAACCTGCGCCCGTCGGCCGCTCCGCCCGTCAGCCGCTTTTTCCCGCCCAAACAGCCTTGGGCGCCTGCGTCACAGGAGGCGCAAGGGGGCGGGGCCAGCCGCGCTTTCCGGCAGCCGCAAAACGGACTCGCTCTCGCCCGCGAAGTAAAATACGGCCCTCAACGTGCGGACTGCGGCGTCTCCTGGAGTGGAGCCGCGGCTCGCCACGCCCGCACTCCTTCCTACCCCGAAATCTGCCCCCCACCCCACCCCCACCCCCAGGTTTCTTGCACAGAAGCTCACGCAATGACACATGAAAGTATTTAACAGTGTCCCGATAAAAAGCGGTTACTCGGGCGGGCGAGGATGCTCAGCCACACCTGACGACCTCCAGGACCCATCAAGTTGTCTTCTGACCGCCACACGACACATCACAGAAAATAAGTAAATGTAATACAAGTGGTCAGGTATTAGCGCTGAGAAACTTAATATGCTCAACTCAAAGATTAAAGTAACGTGTGTGTGTATTTTTAAAGATGGTTCTCAAAGCGGTACAACTACAGGCTGAAATGACATCTGGGATGAATCCCTCAATCTCTGCGGGAAAAGCCTGTGTTGAACAAAATGCACACAACACAGCTTTTAAGAATACCTTTTATCCCAGGATCATACATATTCGACCGCACAGAATTAATCCCACTCGCCTGCTCCAGTCACCTCTCACTTTCAGTGGACATATAGACTCAACCTCTCATTTTAAACATTGCAGTGTCTTCTCAGCTGTTCCTCTCCTCGATCTAGAAATCAACGCCAACTGTCAGTCCCTGTCTATCTACTCTCAAAGTCCCCTCATGCCCAGTGAAGGAAAACCAGCAGCCACCTTGGAGAGCCTCAACTTCAGAACCCAGATAAGACAAGCCAGAGCATTAGCAGACCTTTGAACCTTCCGGATACCTTAGCGTTACTCTAAAATGTTACTACATTATCCAGCATATGCAAAACAAACGTGAAGGAGACACCCACCGCTGCACAGTGGGGGCTCCCTCTCAGACCCTGGATCAGGCACAAACCACACCCAAACACCTGTTTACACAGAGATCCTTTATTAAATGGGGAAGAAAAGTTAAAGAGGCTGCTTTCTGACTCAGGCAGAAAATACCAGCAAATGACCTTTCAGGTATGATTTTTAAGAAGAGAAAAAGGGGAGGTCCGTGTTAGAATGGATTAGAAGGCCCTGGCATATTTTGACTGGCCATGTTAATTAGGTGAACCAAAGGGGACTTTCGATGGCTGTACTTTGATACTTTGATAGCTGGACCTTGGTAGTCAGCCTCAGGAGGAGGAAGTGGCCAAATAAAGGAATGGACCTTGGTCGATAACTTTAGAAATGTAATCTAAGGTTTTCAGCAAGATAGAAGGAACTGGGGAGAAGGGGAAGGCCTGCCAGGGCCGCATGCTCGAGTGGGCTAGTGTCTCCTCACCGTGTAATTCATACCTATAGCTGCAGAATCCTATTGTTCTGGTGAAGCGGGTTAGATTTGATTTCATACAGCCTCTCACTTACCTAAACACAACAGCTCTATCACTGATTTTCTTCTGTGTATGATGTGTCTATGTGTGCACATTGGCGTATGCATGCTACATCACATGTGTGGAGGCCAGAGGAAGACCTTAGGTATCAGTCTTTACTTTGGACCTCATTTGGGACAAGGTGTCCTCCGTTGTTTTTCCAAGGTGCTCATCAGCTGGCCTGTGTCTGAAGATTCCTTTGTCTCTCCCTCCCATGTCCCTATAGGATACTGCTATTGCAGACTCTTCCACTTCCTGTTACATGAGTTCTAAGGATTTGAACTCAGGACCTCAGAACTGCATGGTTTTCCCCCTGAGCCATCTCCTAGGCCTCTATCACTAACTGTGGAAAAGCCTTCTTATCACTACTTTTCCCCTCACATAGGCAACAATATATGTAGGAAGGCTTTGTAGGTAGACATATGGAGTCTGAATCTCAAATTAACATGAAAGTTTCCCACTCTTGAGGTGCAGCCTCCCTCCTCATCTGTAAACACGGATATAACTGACCTACGGTTGTGTTGTGATACTTGTAATACACAAGCAACTTCTCAGTACAGAGTTGACTATATGAAGGGGCTTTGGATCAGCTTCCTTCTAACTACTCTCTTAAAAGGCAGTGGAGCATGCCTTTAATCCCAGTATTAGGCAGGCAGATCTCTCTGAGTTTGAGGCCTGGTCTACAGAGTGAATTCTAGGACAGCCTGGGCTGTTGCACAGAGAAACTCTGTCTCAAAACAACAACACACAAACAAACAAAAAGGTAGAGTAGTAAAGTCCCAAAGCAACTTTTATAACCCATCTCTGTAAACCTGAGATCATACGTCAAGAAAACAATAAAAATCTCCACTAACATAAACAATAAACAAGGTAATTTCTTGACCTTTGGGAGGATCCCAAGTGGTAAAGGAAAGATGTGGACCAGGCAACAGTAGCTCTACCTGTAATCCCAGCACTCAGGAGAGAGGGTCAAGAGGATGGCTGCAGGTTCAAGGCCAGGCTGGTCTACAGATCACATACAGGATACTGCTATTGCGGTAACAAGCTCCACGCCAGCCAGGGCTACAGAGCAAGACCCTATCTTTTGTTTGTTTGTTTGTTTTTGTTTTTCAAGACAGAGTTTCTCTGTGTGGCTTTGGAGCCTGTCCTGGATCTCGCTCTGTAGACCAGGCTGGCCTGGAACTCACAAAGATCCGCCTGCCTCTGCCTCCTGAGTGCTGGGATTAAAGGCGTGTGCCACCACCTTAAAGAAAGCATCTGAATGGGCCAAGCACATCTGGTTGAGGGCTCTGAAGCAGGGAAGTACTGAAAGGCAGCGGACTGTCAAGTTGCCCATGTGATCAGGGCCTATCCTGAAGGCCAAACCTCCCTGTACCCACTGAATCACAAGGTAAGGCAGGAAGCCTAGCAGGTATTCACACCCAGCTCTAAGGGCAGACAACAAATCTGTCTGACCCCTGCTCAAGCTATGCTGGAAGACTGGGACTTGGAAAACTCCATTTATTGATTTTTTTTTTTTTAAAGATTTATTTACTTATTATGTATACAGAAGAGGGTGCCAGATCTCATTACAGATGGTTGTGAGCCACCATGTGGGTGCTGGGAATTGAACTCAGGACCTCTGGAAGAGCAGTCGGTGCTCTCAACCTCTGAGCCATCTCTCCAGGCCCCATTTATTGATCTTAAACCCAACAAAAAGTTCTACGCAAGAGTTGTGAAGGCCCTTGGCCTTGCAGCCACAACTGTGTGCACTGACGTCAGCTTGCTTCTCTTTCTCCAGGCTCCGGTTCTGTTTTCTGGGACGCTAAGAGAACTTCGCGAGCTCTCTTCCTCCGAAGTCTCTCAGCATTTGTGATCATCATCGGGTGCAGAGGGTAAAAGCCAGAAAGACCTAAAAACAACAGGGTTTTCATTGTAATACTGCACATGCCAAGGCTTCCCAGAACTGAGATACAACACCTGATCCACAGCACAGGCAAGAACCAGGCCAAGCTCGCGGTCTACTTCCCGACACTGTTCTTGCTTTAAAAAAGACACGGGGCTGGAGAGATGGCTCAGCGGTTAAGAGCACTGACTGCTCTTCCAGAGGACCCGGATTCAATTCCCAGCACCCACATGGCAGCTCACAACTGTCTGTAACTTCACTTCTAGGGGATTCAGCACCCTCACACAGACATGCAGGCAAAATACCAATGCACATTAAAAAAAGTAAAAATAAAAAAAAAAAAAAAATAAAAAAATTTAAAAAAGACACAATAGTTCCATTTTTTTTCCCTCACAAAATCCCAGTCACTTGAAGTCTTCTAAAGCAGTCCACAAAGGGGGCCTCCAGATTTTTAAAAAATGGCAATTACATCACTACACCTTCCCCTCCTGTCCAGAGCAGCTTCCATGGAATGAAAAATCATTCGTCTTGTCCATTATCCTAGAGCTGACCCCAGTATAAAATCTCTTAAATTATCTAAGCTCAGAGATGGTTTACCCAGAAGTTTCTCCATAGGCTTAGAGAGCTGAGCCCCACAGCCAATCCAATGCCGGATCCGGTCCAGGTTGAGGGCAACCAGTTTTTCTCCGTTACTGTTGGGCAGTGGATCGTAGGAGCCCAACTGCTCCACGAAGCGGCCGTCCCTGGGGCACTTGTTGTGAGCTGCCACAATGCGGTAAAAGGGCCGGTTGGTGCAACCACCCAAGGCAAGGCGGATGGTTAGGTGGCCCCCACGGTACGCTTTGCAGAGAAAGGTTGCTGTAGAGAAATAACTGGTTAGAACGCAAAAACAGAAGGCACAAAATAGGCCATATAAGGTAAAGGTACAATTCCTCCTTCTAGGGTTGGGGATTTAGCTCAGTGATAGAGTGCTTGCTTAGCAAGCACAAGGCCCTGGGTTCGGTCCTCAGCTCCGGAAAATTAAAAACAAAACAAAAAACCAACTCCTCCTTCTACTGCCGTGTTCTCAATTCCAACCTGTTCCACGCGGCTTAGGTACTCACTTATCTGTGAAACTTCGCCCCTTAACCACCCCATCCCGGACACACCTCCTTCTCCCCAAACATGCACAACACGGACCTGCCACTTGCTAGGTTGTGACCTTGTCGTACCCTTAGGCTGCCTCATCTGCGAAACGATTTCTACGAGGATTTTATGGTAAAAACTGAAGCACGCCTTTGATCACAGCACGTTTGGGAGGCAGAGGCAAACTATGAGTTTGCTAAGTTCGAAGCCAGCCCGGCTTCACACTGTGCGTTCTAGGCCAGCCAGCGTCACACAGTGAGACCCTGTCTGAAAACAAAGCGGACTGCGAGGAGAGTCCACTCTGAGGCAGTGCGGCCGCTCCTAGCCCGGGTCACCGCTCCCCGCACCCGCCCCGACGCCCCGCGCACTCACTAAGGTGGACCATGGTGCAGCGACGAGCGACCCTTTGGCTGTCCCCCTGCACAGACCAGCTCCGCAGAGCCGGAGGCCTGGAGGAGCGCCCCCAAGCGGCCGCAGAGGCACACGCCCCGACGCCCGCACCGCTCAAGATCCGGAAAGCCCTCTGCGGAAGCGGCTGGCTGCTCGCCCCGCCTCTTCCGCCCTCTCTTTCTAGGTCTACCGGAAGGCAACAAGGCGACCCTGACCGCCTTAAAAGATGCGGAAGAGGTGTGTCTGTAGGCGTGGGGCCGCTGGCTGTGTTTGGATTGATTCGCCGTAGTGGTGGGGAGTATTGCGAGACTGCCGGTCCCGTCTACAGGGGTGCTTAGCAAACGCTTCTGTCTGCAGCGATTCCCACCCCGCTTAGGGCGGCAAGCGCTGACCTTGGAGCCCCGGATGTCAGCCTGGTGGGCAGGGGGGTCGCACCGGAGAGCATGGGCGGGTCCGGACACAGCAGGGGACGAAGCTGCCTTCCCTTTACCTCGGGAAGACTTCCTAAAGGACTGAGCGAGGAGCATGATTTAAAAATAATTTATTCTCTGTTTATTAATATGACTCTCACTTTCCCTTGTAGTTCTCCCACCCTCAGAAAAAGTCGCTCCATTGAAAAGTGGAGGGGAGGGGGCTTTTATTTCCGCCTTTACTACAACATGTTCCAAGAAGTTAAGGGTATGAGTTCTTTGTCCTTTCAAGACCTAGAATTACGGCTTCACTAGTGAATTTTGCATCTCTGATCACAATGGTGTATAAAAGCCGCTCTCCTGATTTAGATCCTTGAATATACCGCTGATTTAAAGAAATTAGTACGTTTATCTTAGCAAAGACCTCTTTTAGCTCTCCCAAAAGACAGCCTCAGCCGGGCGGTGGTGGCGCACGCCTTTAATCCCAGCACTCGGGAGGCAGAGCCAGGTGGATCTCTGTGAGTTCGAGGCCAGCCTGGACTACCAAGTGAGTTCCAGGAAAGGCGCAAAGCTACACAGAGAAACCCTGTCTCGAAAAACCAAAAAAAAAAAAAAAAAAAAAAAAGACAGCCTCCAGGATATCTTCTGCTCTTACCCAGTGACACAGCATGGCAGTATTCTAAGCCCACCCTTGAAGATGATGCCTTAATTCCCAAGCCCCAGTAACTGAAGCTGGTCAAGAACTTTGGCAATTGACGATAAGCTTTCATCAGAAACTGCAATAGTTACACCACTATGCCATATAGCTACCCACAAATATGCCTATTAAATTAGTTACATAATTATATAAGAGCATATAAAGTACAATGTGCTACATAAGACTCCAGGAACACGCTGATAAATTTTGAGGGTTCTTTTTTTATTGTGATCTGATTTACATTTAATAGCTAATGGGGGGAAGGTCAGGTTTCATCTGGTGACAATTTGGGAAGGAAAGATGAGATGCTTAGGGTCCCATATTGAATATCCACTTGTAAGGATGTCAGAAAGATGGATCTCCAAAGCCAACCATTTCCTGGACGGTGTGGATTTCTGCAAGCAGGGCTTCGTCTTTCAGTTTCAGCTGCAGAAACAGGGCAGGAAGAACAGGTAACTCAACACACCATGGCGCTTTGGAGAGTCCTGATTTATGAGGCTCTAAATGTGTGGGGATGGAATGGGCTTTTCCTATATTCTCAACACCATGGGAGCTCCCTTAAAGACATAGACTGCTGTATTGTTTCCATGGGTGTGTGAGCTCTCATGGTCTGCATTCTCGGGTGACAACCATCTCATACCTTTATTGTGTACTTGTAGGCCTGCTCAGCTTCCAGTTGTCGTCCAACCTGAAACCCAAAGCACAGCTGGTCTTTCCCAGATCATGTGAATAAATGATTAGGAAACACATTCATTTCAGGGAGGGACTGCCCAAGACTGACAGTTTGTCATCAGTACAATGACCAAATCCAGAGCTCATCAAACTTCGGTTCTGCTGTGTTTTTTTTTCTTAGCCCTCGCCTGTTCCCTGGACGGGTTTTGTGAAGGGACAATAAGAAACACTCACTTTCAGGCAGACCAGAGCCAGGTAGGCCCACACTTCAGCGTTGTAGTTATTCAGTGCATTGGCTTCAGAGAGAGCGTCCTCGGCCTCGGTGAGCTCCTCCAGCTTGGGAGGAGGAGAGAGAGGGAGAGAGAGGGACACAGTCCGGAGTGCTCTTCACTTAAGCCAACTGGAGTCAGCTTAGGTGAGATCACTATCCAACCAGTAGATGTCCAGGGCCTGTACCAGTGCTCTTCCAGTGTTTCCAGAGTCACAGGCAGCATATATTTTATGTGTTCTTATATAATTATGTAACTATTAGTAGATATTATTTGTGTGTGTGTGTGTGTGTGTGTGTGTGTGTGTGTGTGTGTCTGTGTGTGTTTAAATTATTTATTTAGAGACTGGGTCTTCCTGTGTAATGAAACTCACAGGATTGGCTCGAAACTCATTATGTAGGGCAGACTGGTCTTGAAATTGAAACCACCCTACCTCACCCGACCAGGCATTGGAATTACAGGCATGAGCCACCAGGCCTAGATTTTTTTTTTTTTTTTCCTGTTTTGAAAGAATAGTGAGACAAGCAGTGGTGGTACACTCAGGAGGCAGAGGCAGGCAGATGTCTATGAGTTTGAGGCCAGCCTGGTCTAAAAAACGAGTTCCGGGACAGCCAGGACTACACAGAGGAACCCTGGCTTGAAAACCAAAACAAACAAACAGCAACAAAGAACAGAGAGTTTCTAAGCCCAAGAAAAGATGAAGAGAAGCCTTTCAACCATGCCCACATTTTGACCCACACTTCAGGTCTTTCAGACATTTAGTATTCAGTCAATCTACATTTTCTGATGATGTGTTCTGTGCTCACCAATATACTTGATGCTGAGAGTAAAAATATGTTTGTACATATACAGCCCCTTACTCTCAGAGACCTCACTGGTAGATATGTAAAAAAAATAAATAAAAATAAAAACATAATGAACAATCCAATACACAAAGAGTTCCATTACAAAATAAATATTTCTATAGTAAAAAAAATAAATAAAAATAAAAACATAATGAACAATCCAATACACAAAGAGTTCCATTACAAATAAGTATTTCTATAGTAAAAAAAATAAATAAATAAAAATAAAAACATAATGAACAATCCAATACACAAAGAGTTCCATTACAAATAAGTATTTCTATAGTAAAAAAAAATAAATAAATAAAAATAAAAACATAATGAACAATCCAATATACAAAGAGTTCCATTACAAAATAAATATTTCTATAGTAAAAAAAAATAGCCGGGCGGTGGTGGCGCACGCCTTTAATCCCAGCACTCGGGAGGCAGAGCCAGGCGGATCTCTGTGAGTTCGAGGCCAGCCTGGACTACCAAGTGAGTTCCAGGAAAGGTGCAAAGCTACACAGAGAAACCCTGTCTCGAAAAACCAAAAAAATAAATAAATAAATAAATAAAAATAAAAACATAATGAACAATCCAATACACAAAGAGTTCCATTACAAATAAGTATTTCTATAGTAAAAGCACACTCATGATCTAGAGGTGAGACAAAGAAAAACATTACCAGATCTACCCTGACACTGAAGGATAGCTTCAGAGAAGAAATGTCTTGACAATGGACCACGAAGGGTAAGAAGGCAGGCGTTCCTTACATGCACAAGGTCAAGAGAGAGAAAAGGTCTAACTACAAAGGTATGGGGTGTGACTGAGTACATCATGCACACAAAACAATCTTTTTTTTTTTTTTTTTTTTGAGACAAGGTCTCTGTAGCCCTGGCTGGCATGGAACTTGCTATGTAGACTAGGCTGATCTTGACCTCATAGAGAACCACCTGCCTCTGCTTCTACCTCCTGAATGATAGGATCAAAGGTTCTGTTGCCAGCCTCAGGTAGGGACTCTGTGAACATGATAGACATCAACAACCTCACAGCCTTGGTGGAAAGTGTCAGTCTGTAATCCCAGCAGTGGGTAGGGACGGGAGAAAGATGAGGAGGTCAAGGTCATCTTCGGCTACCCTAGGTACCTGAGAACCCCATCCCTGGCATTGGGCAAGACAGGCATTAGATTCAGGCCTGACCATGTTAACAGACTAGCAGACGAGTCGCCCCATGTCTGACAGTTGCTTTAAAAGACTCCAGAGGGCAATGTCGAAGCACAGATGAAGACAGTGAGGACCTAAAGTTAATGGCTGCCAAAGCAGGGTAAAGTGGAGGTATTTTCTGCTCTTACGACTAAGGGTATTTTAAACTGGCCATGACAAAAAGCTAAAAGAAAAACATTGGCACCATAGCTGGTTGTGTGGCCCTGGGAGCTCATTTCTGTCTGTTTACGTCTCAGATTTCTCATGCTAGGTTTCCTACGGTTTTTTTTTTCTTTTCTTTTTTCTTTTTTTGTTTAGTTTATTTTTATTTTATGTGTTTTGTCTGCATTCATGTCCGTGTAAGGGTGTTAGGTCCCTGGACCTGTAGTTACAGACAGTTGAGCTGCCATGTGGGTGGTAGGAATTGAACCAGGGTCCTCTGGAAAAGCAGCTAGTGCTCTTTTCTTTTTGTTTTGTTGTTATTGTTTTGAGAAAGGTTTCTCTGTGTAACAGTCTTGGCTGTCCTGGGCTTTGTAGACCAGGTTGTCCTTGAACTCACAGAGATCCACCTGCCTCTGCCTCCAGAGTGCTGGAATTAAAGGCATGCACCACCACGGCCTGGCCTCATGAACAACTTGACGAGCAGTTATTTTTTATATATATATTAGAGCAGACTGCCATCCCACCTTTATCACAAACTCCCACAATATACTTGGAGGACCAAGGAATCGGGGCCTGGTATCTGACCTCTGTTCTCTTACCCGGTAACAGGCAATTCCTAGTCCTAGCCAGGTCAGGCATGAAGGCGATCTCTTACAGACTTGCATGTAGGTACTCTTTGCCTTTTCGTACTGTCAAAAGAAAGTTCCATTAAGCATCAAACACCGTGTTGCTAAGGTAACCATGAGCTTCTTGACAGTTTTGCTCCAGAATAATCTGAAATTGAGTGAGTCCTTGGATTATATTTTCATGGATACTTTAAAAGAGCAAGAGGACAGGGAAGAGATGAGGAAGCCAATATGAAAGGGCGGGT